TTAGAAAAAAATTATCTTCATAGAATGTTTTTTTTTGCTCTTCTAATATCTTGCTCTGAGCTATTATAATCTTTCACTACTTACACTGTATTTCATCAAAATAATTAGGATTATTGTATGATTGTTTATAATTATCAAATCATTGCTGTTAAATCATTGAATTTAATAGTAATATTTCCATTGCTTGGCTTTGATCCCAGAGCCTTCTATCTGCTAAAAAGCATTGTAATTCGGGGCTACTTCCCCAGCCCTAATAATAACATGTTTTCATTATGTAAACCTAGAAGATGTTAAGAAATGTAAAGTCCCAGAAATGATGGAGCTGAATTCAATCACAGTTTATCTATTTGAGTGATTCACTCTTCTTGGAGCTTTGAATATCACTCAAAAAACCTGGCTTAATGGAGAAAGCCTTGAGTGACTTTTATTAGTCTACAGCTCAGTAGGACTTCAAAAGCTTGCTCGGATGGAGCACTTGATAACTGAAATGAAGTTTCCCTCGGGACAGTTCAAGAGGAAAGACGGGGCAGAATCTGACTGTCAACAGCCTAGCTGAGATTAATGGCTTGTTGTGGACCTAGATTAATAGTGTTCCATAGCTCATAACAAACTCTTCAGGGTCAAGTGGGAAGAGGCATGGTCTATGTACCTCAGGAGGCTGGGAATTGTGGTTTTTTTGAAATAGCTATAAATATCTGATGGAAGAAACACGTTTAATTCACATTCTGCCAGGGACTATTTTGGTCTAAGAGGCTTCATTTTATAGATGTTTCTATAGAGGATAAAATGAGAGATACATTCTTTTTTATTGTAAAAATTTTTAGGAAGGATAGCAAGGAATTTATGGCCAATGTTTCCCTCTCCGTCTCTCTAGCTTCTGCAACAGTGCAAGAGTGGATGGATGGAAAGTATACTTTACCTTTTGCAGACATATGGCACATAATCCATTGTCAAAGTAAATCAGAGCTGAAAAAGGTAAAGCTGTGAACACTTTACTGGATGCCATTTGCCATATCTTTTTCCTTTCCAAGCAAAAAGGTAAGTTTTCCCACCTAATGGAACTGTTTCCTTTCTCTTGCTTCCTATTCAGAAGCGAGTTGTCCTAGGGTCCTGTCTCCTGAGAAACCTAAAGCTCCAGACACAGCCTTTGCTCATTGATGAAAAGATTCCAATATTCCCAGTTTGCTCAGCTTGCCCTGCCCTGGGTCTGCCCCAGCAGCATCACAGGATTGATTCCAATAAACAAGAAAGAAGAGAATGGTATAGGATCTAAGACCTGTAGACTGCTCATTTGCAAATCTGAGGGCAAAATAAGGAAAGGAATGACACCAATCACACCCAGGGCCTGAAGATGCTGAGTATTTGGATGCTGCTGACACTGAGATTGCTGGTCTGGGATGGATTTTCAGCCCTCCTTTGTACTCGCTTTCTGTGATGTAGTAAGTCCTAACATAAGGAGAGGAGGAGAGAAAGAGAAGCAGAATTCCTCAGTGAAATTCTAGAAACAAGTGCTCTCTGTCTGTGTTTCCTTGCTATCCTTGATGATGAGATTTTCCCTGTCTCAGCTGCTTGGTTCTCTTTCTTCTCTGAACCTCATTCATCATCTTCATCTCCTTTGAATTTGATTGTCTCACTACTCTCCAGACTTTGTATCTCCTTCTTAGTATTTATGCTTTAAATGTACAAATAAAATGCTGATGTCATTGACCCACCCTGAAGATTGCATCCCTACCACAGGGCGCAAGCTGAACAGTTTAGTAATTTCTTTAGTTGCCTGTTTAAAGTTTCTCAGGTGCATGTGATGCTCTGTGTGGCAGTGGAGATGAAGTAGTCACTGCGACGTCTCCCCAGATTGCACGGGTTTGTATTTCTGGTCCTGAATCTTCTCTGCTTATCTCAGTATCTCAGACTATCTTAAATTGTACAGTCTGGGGCACCACAAGTTTTCCCTACAAGGTCTAATGAAATCATGTGAATGAAAGGTGCTGAACCAAAAATAAGAGAATATACTAGGAATTAAATGATTCCATAAAAGCACACAATTTCCCTGTGAAATGGCATTAGCAATAATATCTGACTGAGGAAATCTGGAAGGCTTTGCTTAGGAGATGGTGCTTCAATTGCATGCTATGTCCAAAGACAGAAATGGAGAATGAGGATTATAGAAGAGGAGAGGCAATTAGAAACTGTCAGCTGTGAAATATTCAGGGGATGAGACATTTTAGGTGTGTATGTGAGGGACAGAAATTGCTAGGCATGCCTGAGCATGGATAGGGAGAACAGTGGGAAGACAAAGTGAAGTACGATGATAGTACAGGGTTAGAGGTTAGAAAGCCACAGCAAGTATCTAAACCACTGTATTTGGAAGCCATAGTCATGATTTTACTGTACTTTTAATCATTTATTTTAAAGCTCCACTTTTCCTTTTAAAGTGATAGTAAGAGATTGATACAAATATAAGAAGAAGATGGGATGTCTGAATTTGTGTCCTTTTAACCTGTGTAATGATCTCAATAAAATACTGTCATGTCTACTTAAAGAATCCTGGGTTACCTATTGATAATATTGACATTTATGAAATATTAGCTTGTATTTTTAACCTATATGAACTACAATCACACAATGAAAACCGCATATCTATGGGATCTAATGTGAAGTTCCATTTTCTTGGACTAAACTTTGTGAGATATTTTAGAACATATGAAGCACAAAATACAGTACAAAACGACTGTGTCTAATGGTTTGCAAATATAAAACTAATTTTGTTGACACGGATGGAAAGTGTTTAATTTTACTATCCCTAACAAAGCATGGTTGAGAATGAGCACTTTTAATCCTTGTCTGAGAAAGAAAGTGACAACTCTGAAGCCAGCGATGAATTGTGTTTGGAATGACTACTAGCTCGTCTGCATTTTGTTGGGACCAGTGTGAGCCAGTTTCTAAGATTTCCATGAGTTCTCAGTGGAGGGAACAGAAAGACAGATGTTTTCAGGGGGACCCAGGCATCTCAAAGGAAGCAAGCTTTTCATTTTAGAAGGGCTTATCACAGTAACACAAAAATATTGTTAAATTCCATCCAACAACTCTGAGTATTCTTTGTTCCTTTGTAATTCATAAATGCTAACATAAGCAGCTCTTGTATTTTATGCCTCAAATTTTATATGTTGCCAATGAAAAGCATCCAAACTTCGTATCCTGGCTTTCATGGCTTTGTGCTAGAACAACTTTCTTCTCCAAGCTTGTCTACCACAGTATGTGTTTAGAGTCTCTCTAACCAGAGTCTGTGTCAGTCCATTTGCCGGCAAAATATTTCCTGCCCGTTTTCATAAAAATTGTCTTTATTTCCCCAAATGCTCAAACTCTTCTGTTTTCTGTACCACTAAACCACACATTTTGCCATGACAAGAGATTTATCTTTATGTTCCTCTCATCGGGGATCCTCTGTGTTCAAAATAGTAAATACTTTCATTAGTTTTTCTCTTTGTAGTTATTAAAATGTTTGTAACTGTTATCCATAGCTTGTGAAACCATTAAAAAAAAGTGTATGAGCCAGAACACTGCTGTAATTTTAGTCACTCAGCAAAGAAACTCTATGTTTACAAGCAGTGTGCCACTGTATTGCAAGTAAAGGGACAACTTGAAATAATATTTTTACAGAATGCAAAGTAGTTCTTCAAAGGCCAGTTATAATTGTACTGAATATACGGTTATAATTATCATCCAATTATAAATAGTGCAAGCTACTTCTTGTAATGCCTTGCACATATGAAATTAATTTTCATAGCAATCCTAAAAGATAGATTATTTTACTATTTATATTAGTTTTGTCAAAATCAAGGGACTTGTTAAGCATCAGACCACTAGTGTGGGCAGTGACATGAAGTTTGAGTCTGATCCATTTTTAAATAATAAGTACATGTTTGTTGCACATCATGAATATATTCATTGTGAGCAGTTGGTCCGTGTACACAACACATCTTATTTCTTTTTACACCCCCTTCCCCTCCAACCTTCCCTCCATCATTTAGTGCCCTACCCATCATAATCACTGTTGATTTTGTTTACAGCTCTGAGAATCTGTTTGGGAACCAGATTTTCTCAATTAAAACTATACTTCAGCTCTATAAATAATTTTGAATTCCTCTATGACTACCATATCCATGAGAAAATTCCTCTCATCACTCCACAAATGTTTTCTACTCTTCCAGTATTGATCACATACCATCTGCTATAATTATTGACCTAATCTACATTTATCTTTGGACTCATGAGAGCATGGTAACATTTTTTCCAGTCTTAACAATAATTTCATATAATTTGGTCTCAGCATTGAAAATGAAAGGTAATTATGAAAGAGTACAGAATAAATACAATTGTTATATTTTTTTAACAAGTGGGAAAGTAGCAAATTGAACTCTAAATCCTTCTGTTAGATTTTCAGCAGGGAGGGTTGTTTCAAAATGTTAGGGCATAATTTTACTGGAATAGTCATTTTCAGGTTTTCAGAGCATAGAGATATACTGCATAACACGTGAAACATATATGCATGTGCGTGCACATATGTGGCTATAAAAAATCTATTATCCTTCTTTTGAAAATTCAGAATAAGTTAGGGCAAATACTGCCACACCATTTTTGACACAGGAGGGCTAAATTTCAAAGCAGCTAATCACCCACCCAAGGAAAATACTGGTTTTGCAGTTCACATTCTGGATAAAAATCAAAATATTGGAAGGATATTTATTTTACATTCCCAAAATTCACATGCTTTGGTCCATGGTAGAAAGTTTCTGAGGAACCAGATAAATCTTCAAGAGGCCTGGCATCTACAATTTTTTAGGAGTTTAGAGGAATTTGTCTCTAGAATGTGATTGGAAGTAGTGGAATATGGCACAGAACCGGAGAATTCAGAAGTCAGTTTACTGCTCCTTCCAATGTCATTTCATTTCTTCTCTTGCAGAGTAAGCATCATCCACTCCACCCTACCTACAGCCACTGCGATGAATAAAAGTGTGACCAAATTCATTCTGTTTGGGTTGACTCAAGATGCAGAAAAGCAGAAGGCAATATTTGGGATTTTCTTGATTCTTTACATTATGACTCTGTTGGGCAACTTTGTCATCATGGTGACCATTAAAGCCAGCCAGACCCTTGGGAGTCCCATGTACTTCTTCCTCTTTTACTTGTCCTTCGCTGATGCTTGTTTTTCTACAACCACAGCCCCCAGACTGATCGCAGATGCCCTTTCTCAGAAGAAAGTCATCTCCTACAAGGAGTGCATGACACAGGTCTTTGCAGCCCATTTCTTCGGGTGTATGGAGATCTTTGTGCTCATCCTCATGGCATTCGATCGCTATGTGGCCATCTGCAAGCCTCTGCGGTACACGACCATCATGAGCCAGCGCATCTGTGGTGTGTTGGTGACCCTGGCCTGGGTGGGTTCTTGCATCCATTCCTTGGCACAGATTTTCCTGGCTTTGAGACTGCCCTTCTGTGGCCCCAATGTGATCGATCACTATTTCTGTGATTTGCAGCCCTTGCTGAAACTCGCCTGCATGGACACGTATCTGATCAACTTGTTAATCGTGACTAATAGTGGTGCCATATGCATGGGGAGTTTAATAGTGCTGCTCATCTCCTATGTTGTCATCTTGTACTCTCTGAGAAACCATAGCACCGAAGGACGGCGAAAAGCCCTTTCCACGTGCATCTCCCACTTTATTGTGGTCGTCATGTTTTTTGGCCCCTGTATATTTATATACACACGTCCACCAACCACGCTTCCTGTGGATAAGATGGTGGCTGTGTTTTACACGATCGGCACACCCTTATTCAACCCTCTTATCTACACCCTGAGGAACACAGAGGTGAAAAGTGCCATGACGAAGCTGTGGTGTCGCCAACTATAACTTCAGGTGATCCACACTGTGTGAGAATTCTAAAGCACAATTCCTTCCCAGGGCAGCATTTACTGCATCGACTGGAAAAATAATCAGATTTCCTGATGGCAGACTTGCCATTTAAAAGTCCAGTGTTTCACAACTTGGACTTGTAATTTTAGGAGAGGATGTTCTACAAAGTGTTATTTTCATTTTGAAGATAATCTCATCTATATATAAAATGCACAGGCACCAGTCTCCTCTTCATAATATCACAATTGAATGACACATAGCTCTTTTGGTGTGAGTTTATGGTTCCAACCACATGCACTCCAAGAGATGTTACCTTCATTCCTTCAGAGTAGTGAAAACTACCAAGGCACACGCAATCACTTTGTGTGTAGGTCAGCATTTCCTTCAGCCAAACATAAAACATCATGATGGACAAAATATTCCTGATAATTTTGATACAGACAAGTAGAGGCAGTGTCAATATGTATATCATGAAGAGGACACTTGTCAAAATTTTCAGGTCTGTGTTCATATGTGGTTGCAGTCCCTCACAGTAAACGTCCACAACTTTCCTTATTTCACATCTTACAATTTGATTTTGAACCATTTGAATCTAGTTTTGTGAAGTTTAAAGTGCAATTAGTCCTTTATGAGTGCACAGTAATTTTACAGAACACTGGGCTTCATGGTGGCATTGCATGTTTGGACATAACATACTTTGATCACATCCATCCCCTCATTACCCATCCTTACAACCCTCATGCCCCTCCCCTGATCCTCTTTTTCCTCTCTGTCTCCCTTCTTTCATGTCATCTCTTTTTTTTTCTCCCCAGACTCCACCTACTAGGGTAAACGTGATACTTGACTTTCTGAGCCTGGCTTATTTCACATGACGATGTCCAGTTTCATCCATTTCCCATCCAAATGACATGATTTGATGCTTTGTGGCTGAATAATACTCTATGGTCTGTATGCACCACACTTTGATGAATTCATTCATTGATGAACACCAGGCTGATTTCATATCTTGAAATTCATGCTGCGTGCAGGGACCTCTCTCTATAGTAGGCTGAGATTCATTCCTTCGGGTACACCCCAAGGAGCTGTGTTATGTGGTCATTCTATTTTTGAGTTTTTGAGGGTCCTCCATACTTATTTCCATAAGTTTTCACCAACAGTGTATAAAAGTTCCTTTCTCCCCCTCAACCTTGCCAGCACTGTTTTTGTATTCTTGATGACAGCAGTGTTGTCTGGGGTGAGATGAAATCTCTTTCATTTGCTGCTCCTTCCAACTTAACACAATGGGAGCAAACTTTTGTTTATGTCCCAGTTAAAATTCACAGAGCTTCATAACTTTCTCTTTACTCTTAGATAACACCGATCCTAAACTTCCTTCAGCTTTAGATGATGCTAAAACTTAAAATGTCCATGATATGTCATTAACCCAAGTGTTAAAAGTACTCAGGCTCTGCTTCAACTGATGCCTAGGAAACCAAAATAGAAAAGGCAGACAGAAAGGTAGGGAGTTAGGGGTATGAGGGAGGAAGAATTTTTCTGGTGCAGAAAAGTCTTACTAAATTTGATATCCTAACAAGCCGGACTACTGTCTCTGGACCTGGCAGATACTGAAATATTTATGTTTCTCTTCTCTGTTGGGTCCATTTTGTAGGCCTTTAAAAGACAGTTTCCTTGGCCCTCTTAACTGTACCATCCTTCATGTAGAAGAGAAATGTCTTCCTGTGACCACAGGGGATGCCTTCCTCAGCCCACAGCCAGCCAGTGGCTACTACCTTCCAAGTTCTCTTCTTTTCTCGCCAACCTTGTGGGGATAGTCCCCAAAAAGCTCTTCAGGGAGCCCCTCAGAAATCCTTGGGAAAGGTATGATTTATTTCTTAGAGACTGATTTATTTAATTTTTAGAAACTTGTTTAACATGGTGCAAGCGTAAATCAAACAAAATAACTCGATCTAAATCATATTAGAACTCACATGCATACATCCAAGTAATTTGTCTAGAGGATAAATATCTCTTAAAAATAATGCATACAGGCACAGAATATGAATTCTTGGCGTTCTTTAAGTGTAACCAGTATGTGTGTACTTATTCTATGTATAGAATATAATTAATCAATAATTATAATAGTTTAAAAATGATTTCTATTGATAATTAAAGTATAATTCTAAATACTTAACCAAACTATAAAGGTAATTTTTAGAGCTTAGTTTTTATAGCCATTCAAACATGGATGAAGCGAGACTGTAGGGTGAGGAGAGGAAAAGGATGTAAAAATGATTACAAAGTGATGTATATATGTGTCAGTTCCCCAAGATGAATGAATTATTATTTACATAAACGTATACTAATACAAAAAGAAATTAAAATGAAACAAAAGTGGAGAACGTGTACATTCTCAAGTCTAAGATGCTCTTATCAGACCCAAGATTCATTCAGAGGAAGTTACTTCCTCTGAGTGTCGAAGAGCCCTGTGAGGTTATTTCAACTCGATGCTTCTAACTGTGGAGGCAGATGCCTGGGGTATGAAGGAGGCTGAAGTCATCCAATGTTTCATCATGGTTAAAATCATAGAACTGGGGTTTATATTGTTTTCAAAGAAAAGCTTAAAGCAGATGCCTTCAAAAGACGTGAACCTAATAAACACATAATCTTCCTGGTTTCCCAAGGGATTTGTGTGGTTTCTGATAAGAACAATTGCTAAGGTGGTAGCCAAACACAATTTTAGCAAATCATTTCAGGTCTCCTTTGAATTGTTTGGCTGGTGCTGGGACTCTCTCTCTCTCTCTCTCTCTCTCTCTCTCTCTCTCTCTCTCTCTCT